TATATATATATATATAGAGGAGAATTCTTTTATATGTATATATATTATATGAGTTCATGTTGTTTAAATAAAGGAAATTTTATATGAGAATAGGTGAATGTAACTATTTAATTTCTTAATTCATATAGTTTAATTATTTTATAATTTAGTTGTTCCGTGAACTTCTCATTGACTACAATTTTTTAAGGTTTTTTTAATGGTATGATATAAATTTTATTGAAATTTATAAATATAAAATATAAATGATGTGAATATTTTTTAAAAACTTATAGAAATCAAGTCTTGTAGTTCAATTACTAATTTACTAATTCAACTCCTGGAGTGCTTCTAGCATGGAATATTTTATTATATTTTTCATCCATATCCTACTAAATTAGTCTATTATTGATAGTTAAAATCAGAAGAAAAAAAATAAAAATCACCTCCTTCGGCAGTCACGTCGCCATGGTCCTCGCCACCTAAAAATTCACCACCCCCAGAAACTCTACTCGGTTGTCGTCGCCACTGGTTAATTCACCTGTATTGTTGACAAGGTCATCGTCGCCACCGGCGTCGTGCAAGGTCATGGGCAGCGAGGACGTCGACACGAGCGAGCTACGCGGTGGTCCGGTTCTTGGAAGATCTTGGATCTGCAATCCTTGAGGAGAGAGAAGCGATCATCGCTGCCACCGGTACCAGCCCCATCCACCCCTCCTACATTGCCTCCATGGGTGGCGAGGATGTCGACGCACGCGAGCTGTGGTGGAGGACGGTGGCGCGGTTCTTGGAGGATCTCGAATCTACAAGCCTTGAGGAGAGAGAAGCGATCATCACCGTCACCGGCACTAGTCCCATCCACCCCTCCTACATCGCCGCCATCAGTGTCGCGCAAGGCCATGGGTGACGAGGACGTCGACACACGTGAGCTGCAACGAAGGACGGTGGCGCGGTTCTTGGAGTATCTCAGATCTGCCAGCCTTGAGGAGAAAGAAGCGATCATCGCCGCCACCGGCACCAGCCCCATCCACCCCTCCTACTCCTCCACCTAGGTTTAGGTCATGGAAGCTCTGCATCTCACTGTTGCAGATTGAAGGATTTGGGAGTTAGGTTTGGAAGAAAACCAAACCTTTCGATTTTCGGTCACAAATCTCAGTCATTCAATTTTTAAATAATATATCCAATGGTGAAAATTACTGCGTCATTCATGTACCACATTTCTTAGTACTTCATATTAGAATTTTCCCAACTCCTAACCAACTGACTTAGTATCTTAATTAGTTTAATAATTCATACTTTTAAACTTTAAACTATTGAATAAAGGTACACTGTAACGCCATGGAAATATTGAGCTATTTGGTAGATATACTTTATATATATATATATGTGTGTGTGTGTATGTATGTATGTGTGTGTATATTTATAAATATGTTGTTTATATGGATTTGGGTTGGATTCTAGATGTGTTGATTTGAGGTGTACTTATCTTTGTGCATATTGAATATTTATGTGGTTTTGATTAGTTGTTTGGGCACAGAAGTGATTTTGTAGTATGAGATGAGATATTGTTTTTTTGAGGTGTTTATACATTCATGTGTATCATGAATGTGGTGAATGATGCATTGTACACCATTATACTGAATTGGTACTAAGAGGGAAGAATAATGATCACCTTCCTTCTCATCTTAGTTAAGTGAAGTATTATGGCATGCAACTCATTATTCCAAGAGTATGTATATGAATGTGATGTTTGATTGTATGTCGATACATGTTGCATTCCATATGGTGGTGAGTTGTGAGTATTGCGTAGAAAGGAGTAGGAATGGTGGGGCATTGGAGGATAGGAACATAAGATAAATATGATCTTTTTGAGTGAATTTGAGGTTGTTTTAGAGCTTAGGAAGTTGAAATATTGCAAGGAGTAGGATATTTTAGGTGAATAGGTGCTAAGGGTGAAATTTATAAATTTTGGAAAATGACTATATATATATATAGGGACTTAGGGTCGGAGAGTTTCATTTGTCAAACAGAAATAGTTTCTAGAGAGACAAGTTCTGGTCCGGAAGGAAGCTGAGGACACATTTGTGAAGCTTATGAAGCCAGGATCAATCTTCACAACTAGAGTTTCAAGAGATTTACCCTCTAAAGCTTTGAAAAGGGAGATTGAAGTTTGAGTCGGGATTTGAGGATCTAGTTTGAATCTTGCATTTTGAGGTTTCTAAGGTGAGGGTAGTACTTACAAGACTTAATCTAGTATGTATGGGTTTGAAATATCACA